GCGGAGGCAGGGGCGGAGGCCCGAAGCGCCCCGGCAAGTCCAGCGGCGCGTTCCCCCCCCCGAGTGAGCAGCAGGGCTCCCCCGCTTTGGCGGCCTGGGAGCTCTGCGCGAGGCGGCCCCAGCCCCTCTGCCGCGCGGACGCGTGGAGGACCGCGGGAGGCTGGTTGGCGGCGACAAATTCGATGGACGTGGGCATTCGCTGGGGCGTCGGTCTGATCCGCCGCGCGCGGGCTCCACGCTGCCTTCGGCGCCTGCGTCCGCTCCTCCATGCGCGCCGCTGGGTTCCGGGAGGTTGCGGCTCCTGCTGCTGGTCTGCTGCCCTGCCCCCCGCCCTTCGGGTGGGCTGCTGGTGCCCCCGCGCGGGGCGTGCGCGCTCGCAGGAGATGGCTTCGCACCCATGTCGAGCGCATGTGGGTCAACGCCGTCGTCCTCGCCCTCTCCCGCCTGCGCCCAGGCGAGACGAGGAACTGCTCGCCGCGCGCCCGAGCTGGGGGGCCTCTCAGTCCGTCTCAGTCCAAGATGGTGTCCAGGCTGAGGAGGCTTGTGCGCCCGATGTGCCGGGTCCTGCAATGGCCAGGCGGCCGCGTGGAGAAGGCCGAGGCTCTCCTCGACTACCTCCTGAATGCGATGCGCGCTCCTCTGGTGGGCGCCTCGGCGCCCTCTCCCGACAGCGAAGTGCAGACCATTGACCCGAGCGAGGCCCCCTTCGCCAAGTCCGAGTGCCACTTCGACCCGCTGAGCTTCTTGGACCCCTTTCTGCTGCCACCTTCCTGGAGCCTCGGCTGCTGGCGAGGGGCGGGCCTGGTGCTGTCCCTCTGGCGCAGGCTGTGGGGCCTCCAGCTCGGTCCGCGCCCTCTCGGCCAGCTCGCCAGGCTGGCAAGCCCGGCGACCTCCTGCAGTACTTGAAGCAGAGGGATAACATTGGGGGCCTGGAGCTGGTGGCCGAGGCCGACTCCTCACCGGCCCTGCGAGGCACCTTCTTTCCCGTGTTCGAGTACTCGAACACGCAAAGGGTCGTCTTCAACCGGATCGCCCGTGACGCGGCCGAGCTGTGGCTGAGCGGCTTCTCCAAGCTTTCCCCGAGCGCCGCCGTGCTGGCGGTCTTGGGGGTGCCCGCAGGCCACGTCCTGCGCGAGTGGGCCGACGACCTTCAGGACTTCTACCCGGCCTTCGACTGCGCCCGCGAGATGGCTTTCTCCAGCGACGTGGTCCTCCCGCTCCCGCCGAGGCTCTACGAGGGCTTCGCCGCGCTGGACAGGTTGCGGAGCCGCTGCCGTTGTGAGGGCCGCGACCTCCTTGAGAAGGTGGCCCCCGGCCATGGCGGGCTGATCATGGGAGGCTAGAGCGCGCCAGGCTGGGCGTGCGAGTCCCGCGTGCGGCTGGGAGCTTCCCTCCAGAGCGGCGGGTGCTCAACCGCCACCTGGCTCCCGAAGGGGCCGCCTGGGAGGGCGTCGTGCTGGGCGATCACTTCGGCTTGGCCGTCGACGCGCCCGGCTCGCGGGCCTCCCTGCTCGCGATCGAGTCCTTCGCCCGCGCGGGGGAGGGCTGCGCTAATGCCAGCCTGAAGGACGCGGCGGAGGCGACGGTCAACGGGGCTGAGCTCCTCGGCCGCGACCAGCTCGTCGGCGCCTCCCGCGCGCGCAGGCTGGCACTGGCCTGGGCGGGCCTCTCCTTGGCCCGGGGCTGGCGCGCGACCGCGCTGGGCCTGCAGAGGTTCCTCGGCAAGGGCCTGCTTGCCGCTCTGTTTCGGCGGCCCACCTTGTCGCTCCTCCGCCGCTGCTACAAGGAGGTCGACCCGAAGAGGAGCCCGCGCGAGGTGTTCGAGCAGAGCGGCGTTGCCTGCAACGAGTGCGCCCTGTTCGCCGTCGTGCCCCCGCTGATGGCCACGGACCTCTCCGCTGGGTGGGGCCCTCGCGCGCTGGCTTCGGACGCCTCGCGCGTGGCCGGGCGTCGGTCAAGACGCCCGCCCCGGCGTCCGCCGCCCGCGCCTTCTGGCGCCAGCGAGAGCAGCGAGGCGCCTTGGCGTGGCTTCACCCTCCTGGCTGGGCCGCCCTGGCGAACCCCGAGGACGGCGGCCTCCGGCGAGACCTGGAGGAGGACGCAGCTCCGCCCCCGGACGTTTTCGACCCGTCGACCTCGCCCATCGAGTATTTCGACGCGCTGGAGCTCTGTTGCGGGGGGGGGGGGGGCCGACTCTCAAGCAGTGGCGAACCGTTCTGGCTCGCCTATAGCCATGCCAAACAATGTTCTAAGAACCTTTTGTGGTTTCCACGAGATGTTCTTAGAACATTTATGGTTGATATTGTCTTGTTTCAACACATCGGGGTTATGTTCTAAGAACATTGTTCCCTACCTAGGCTTTGCCTAGAAGGGTTCTTGCTCTGTAGCTTAAAGAGGCCGGGCAGTGTGACGCGCCCCGGGCGGTTCCCCCGGCCCCCTGGAGCGGTTCCCCCAGTCCCCATGGGAGCTTTAGCTTTAGCTTAGCTTTAGCTTTAGCTTTAGCTTTACCTCTAGCTTTAGCTTCAGCTTTAGCTTTAGCTTTAGCTTTAGCTTTAGCGTTAGCTTAGCTTTAGCTTAGCTCTAGCTTAACTTTAGCTTAACTTTTGCTCTGCTTCAGCTCAGCTTCAGCTCAGCTTCAGCTTAGCTTCAACTGAGCTTTAGCTGGGCTTTAGCTTAGCTTTAGCTTAGCTTTAGCTGGCTTCAGCTTAGCTTTAGCTTAGCTTGAGCTCAGCTTGAGCCTAGCTTGAGCTTAGCTTGAGCTTAGCTTTAGCTTAGCTTCAGCTTAGCTTCAGCTTAGCTTCAGCTTAGCTTCAGCTTAGCTTTAGCTCAGCTTCAGCTTAGCTTCAGCTTAGCTTTAGCTTAGCTTCAGCTTAACTTTAGCTTAGCTGTAGCTTAACACAGCTTTACTGTACTACTAATGCTGCTTTCCTAGGGGCTCCAACTCCTAGGTCGGGTCGCACTGGGATAATGTTTGTTCTTAACATTTTTGGTTCTAAGAACATTTCGTGGTAGGACTGTAGGAATGCCGGGGTGGTCGGTCCCTGCTCAGGGCTCATGGGCCACCTCGCGGGCCGATGCCTTCGCCCTGGCCCGAGGGTCGACATCAAGTGCCACAAGTACTGGGGCCTGGTTAATTCGCGCCTGGCGGAATGGATTGTCTGGCTGATCTGGCGGAGGCGCGTGAAGATGACCATCTCGCAGGTGCCGTGCGCCAGCTTCTCCGTCGCGAGGCACCCGCGGCTCCGGCCAAGGTCGCGGCCCTGGGGATTCGACCCGCCCCCCCCGCCCGCGCGGCTGGGCAGCGTCCTCTTCAGGGTGGGCATGCTGGCGCTGCTCGCGCATCTGCTTTCGGGCCACGGCACTGGGCGTCATGGGCCCCCCTGACAGCCTACTCTTGGCGCGCAGGCATCGTCCAGTTCCTGCTGTCGCACGACGTCGTGTAGCGGTTCGACCTCTCGATGCGTCAGTTCGGCGCGCCCTGGAAGAAGGGCGCGAGCCTCCTGGTGGTCCGGGGCCCCTGGCTGGCGCCGCTGGCTAGGCGCTGCCGTGGGGGCGCGAGCGCGCCGTCCTGGAGGGCGGCCTGACTCCCAAGGCCGCGCTCTACCCGCGCGGCTTTTGCGACGAGCTGGCCCGGCTTGTCTCCGAGAGCCTGGGCCAGACGACCCCGCTTCCTCAGGCGGGGGGAGGGGCGCCCCCGGGGGCGTTCGAGGCCCTCTGGCTCAACGACTGCGTCAGCGCTGCCCCCTGGCAGCTGGGCCACCGCCGCCGCTTCCACACGCCTCTCCACATGAACCTGCTGGAGGTCGACGCAGCGTGCGGTTTCCTGGTTGCAAGCGCAAACTCATCCTGGACTCCCGAGTCTCGATCGGGGCAATTAGCAAGGGCCGCTCCGCCTCGACTGCGATCAACAAGCTCTTGGGGAGGCAGGCCCCCTTGCAGCTGGCTGCGGGCGCGTGCGTCGGGTGCCGCTTCTCGCCGACGCGCTCGCGGCCGGCCGACGCCCCGTCGCGCGCGCTGTGACCCGGCGAGCAGCCTGGCCCGAGACAGCGGAGCCAAGGGGACTCCGGCCCCTCCGCCCTGGCTCGCCAGCTTGGAGGCGGGAGGGAGAAGCCTCGGCCATTCGCACCTGGGCCGCGCTCCCCCTACAGCGCCGGCAGCAGTCGCGGCGGGCTTGGCCGGTGACGCGCCCGTGGTGGCGAGGGCTCCTGCGGCTTGCCCCTCGTCCGCGGGTGCGCGATCCAACGCTGGGCTTTCCTGGAGAGGGCCCGGCAGACTGGCGCCCCCCCGCGGCGGCGGCGGCGGCTGGCGCCGGCTGGGCGCCTCGGCCGCCAGGCCGCCTGCCTCGGCCGCTGGTCCACCAGGCGATGCAGGAGGCGCTGCTGCTCGCGTCCTTGAGCCTGGCACTCGCCTGGGGCTGGATCGACGTGGCCGGCTGCTTGCTCCTGGACTTCTTCGGCATGATGGGGCCGTTCGAGTTCCTGAGGCTGAGGGTCGGAGACCCTGTGCCCCCCCCCTTGGTCGCTCGAGTGGATGCAGGCAATGTGTGTGCGCGTAGGCGTGCCCAAAATGAGACGTTTGGGCCCGCTCCGTGAGCATTTCAGGATTGACGTTCCACAAGTTGTGCATCTCCTCGAGGCCCTCTCTCTGCGTTCATTCCCTCGCTCCCCCCTTCTTGCGCGGTGGTGCCCGAGCCTTCAGGTCATGTCTGGCTTATCTCCTGGACTTTTTCGGAACTCTGCATTCGGACAAGATGGGCATCGCCCCCGCGCCCCTCCGCCCAGGAGGTGCCACTTTTTGATGCAGGCTCGCAGATTCGCCGGACTGGGTTCGCCGCTGGGGTCGGTGGCTCCCCAGTCGTGTGCAAGAGGTCTTCATCCAGGTGGTTGGCGCTAGCAGGCTTCCCGCCGACCTCCCAGTTCCCCTCCGTAGTAAGATCCGGCTATTCGCGGAGGCTGCTTGCGACCTCCTCTTAGAGGCCGCCTGGCAGCTTCTGGCGTCGAGTCGTTTGCGGAGGCTGAGCGACGGCAGGCCCCGCCCTTCGATCCCCGTGCTAGTGTTTCCGCCGCCACTGCGAACAAAGCTTATCGGTGCCCGCTTCGCTCCTCCCCCCGCCGCCCCTTCTTCCACCGTGAGCGGCTGTGGATAGCGGAGCCGGCCCAGACTGTGGCCGTCTCCTTTTCTTTCAGAAAGTTTGCAGAGGCAGTGGTGGGCCGGGAAAAGTGCATCGGCCTTGGGATGTAGAGGAGCTTTTTCAGCAGAGGAAGGGCATCGCTGAATGTAACGATTCCTCGACGCGCGTGGGCTCTGGCTTCGTGCTCTGCCGACCCACCTACCCCTTGGCAGGATAGCGGGGCCGGCCTGGACTGTGGCCGTCCCCCCTCCTTTCAGAAAGTTCGCCGAGGCAGTGGCGAGCCCGGAAAAGTGCATCGGCCTTGGGATGTAGAGGAGCTTGTTCAACAGAGGTAGGGCGCCGAATATCTATTCAAATAAATCCGTAAGATGCCTTGTGGGTTTGCGTGGGCCCCCGGCTCCCCGAGCCTCCCGGAGCCTCCCAGGGGCCCTGAAACGGCTCCGGAAGACACCCGGAAAGGCCCGAACCGGTGCGGGAGCTCCTGAGAGACCCCCAACACGGCCCAAGAGACCTCCAAGATCCCGTAAGACGGCCCCCAAAGCCTTCTGCACAGAGCCCCGAGAAGCCAAAATCGTCAAATTCCCGTGGGAAGAAGTACATTTTGGGCATGTGCGACTTTTCAATTCCCGATGCTTCACGATGGTCCATGGACCTCCCCAGAACGGCCCAACAGGACTCCAAGAGGCTCCCACGACGGCCCCAGAGGGCCTCCCAGGGGCCCCGAAACGGCTCCGGAAGACACCCGTAGAGGCCCGACACGGCTCTTGAGAGACCCCCACCACGGCCCCAGAACCCTCCAAGATCCTGCACGACGGCCCTCAAAGCCTTCCGCACAGAGCCCCAGGAAACCAAAATCGTCAAATTCCTCGGGGAAAACGTGCATTTTGGGCATGTGCGCGTTTTCGCATCCCAAAGCTCCACGACGGCCCAAGACGCTTCATACACCGCCCCAAGACGGCCGAACAGGACTCCAAGAGGCTCCCACGACGGCCCAAGAGGGCATCCCAGGGGCCCTGAGACGGCTCCGGAAGACACCCGCAGAGGCCCGAAACGGCGCCGGAGTTTCTGACAGACCACAAACACGGCCTTAGAGACCTCCAAGATCCCGTGAGACGGCCCCCAAAGCCTTCCGCACAGAGCCCCGGGAAGCCAAAGTTGTCAAATTCCATGGGGAAAACGTACATTTCGGGCATGTCCGAGTTTTCGCATCCCGAGGCTCCAAGACGGCCCAAGACGCTTCATAGACCGCCCCAAGACGGCCCAATAGAACTCGAAGGGGCTCCCACGACGGCCCACGAGGGCATCCCAGAGGCCATGCAACGGCTCTGGAAGACGTCCGCAGAGGCCCGAAACGGCGCCGGAGCTTCTGAGAGACCGCAAACACGGCCTGAGAGACCTCCAAGATCTTGTAAGACGGCCCCAAACCTTCCGCACAGAACCCCAGGAAGCCAACATCGTCAAATTTCCTCCGGAAAACGTACATGTTGGCCTTGTGCGCGTTTTCGCATCCCGATGCTCCACGACGGCCCCAGACGCTTCATAGACCGCCCAAAGACGGCCCAACAGGACTCCAAGAGGCTCCCACGACGGCCCAAGAGCGCTCCAAGACGGCTCCACGACCCTCCAGGGGCTTCCCCGGAACCCAGAAACGGTTCCGGAAGGCACACAGAGAGCCCCGACACGGCGCCAGACTGCTTCAGAGGCCCCCACCGCGGTCCAAGAGACCGCCAAGATCCCCTAAGACGGCCCCCGAGGCCGTCCGCACAGAGCCCCAGGAGGCCCAAATCGTCAAATTCCATTTGGAAAACGTGCATTTTTGGCATGTACGACTTTTCCGCTTCCCGAGCTTCCAAGACACCCCAATACGCTTCCTAGACCGCCGCAAAACAGCCCGGGAGAGCTCCAAGAGGCTTCCACGACGGCCCAAGAGAGCCCCACGACGCCTCTCCGAGCCTCCAGGAGCCTCCAAGGCGTCCTGAAATGGAACCGCAAGACACCTCGAGACGCCACCGAGACCGAGAGAGATAGAGAGAGAGAGAGAGAGACACCAACGCCCCCCCCCCAGATCCTCGATCCGCCCCGATCCTCGTCGACCCTCCTCGATCCTCGGCTTCCCCTTTTCTTCCCCTCGAGGCTCGATTCTCGTCGCTCCTCGGCTCACCCTCCTTCCCCTCGGCTCGTCCTCCTCCTCCTCCTCCTCCTCCTCCTTCTCCCTCTTCCGCCGTCTGCTTTTCTCTGTCTACAGACAGCTTGTGGAGGAGGAGGAGGAGGAGGGAGGAGAGGAGGAGGATGAGGAGTAGAAGGAGGAGGAGGAGGAGAGAACGAGAAGGAGGAGGGAGGAGGAAGGAGGAGGGAGGAGGAGGAGGGTAGGAGGAGGAGGAGGAGGAGGAGGGAGGAGGAGGAGGAGGAGGTGGAGGAGGAGGATGAAGGGAGGAGGAGGAGGAGGAGGAGGAGGGGATGCCCTCGACATCCTCCCCCCTTTGCACGCCCAGCACCTTGCTCTGCCGCCCGGGAGGCGCTGCGGCTGCCCGCGCTCGACGAAGAGCGCGAGGCGCGGGAACGCCAGCAGCTGGAGGACGGCGCTCGGCGCCGGGGGCGCGGCGGGGCCTCGCCGAAGCACCTGGGTCGTTCAGAGGCGACGATCGGGGCGAAAAGCCCAGGGGGGAGCAATGCGTGTATCCAGGGGCGCCGATGATCCATGTCTTCGACAAGGCTTCCAGGCGAGGGCGTGTGCTGCCCGCCCCTCGGCTATGTTCGCCCTTAGCGTCGCCGCCGAGTCGTGGTGGTGCGATGGCCTCCACTCGTGACAGCCTTCGGCCACGCGCGGAGGGCGGTAGGGTTAAGTCGGGCCTGTCCCTCTACAGGGGGAACATTCAAAACTAGTTAAATGACTCCGACGGTAGGACCCCGCATGAGAATCTGTTTAGCTTACCCTTTGCCCTTTCCTCCTCCCCCTGGCGGACACCCTCTCCTCTCGCCCTCTGCACTGCCCTCTCTTCCTCATTCTATTCCTTTTCCTACTTCTCGGAGACAAGGGGTTAGTTACCCCTGCCCCCGATTCGGCCGAGGATGGGTTACCACCCCCGTCCCGGACGCAAGGGTCCCCCCCTGCGCCCGATTCGGCTGACGATGGGTTACCACCGCCAGCCCAGAGACAAGGGGTTACCTCTGCCCCCGATTCGGCCGAGGATGGGTTAACACCCCCGGCCCGGACGCAAGGGGCTACCCCTGCGCCCGATTCGGCCGCCGATGGGTTACCACCGGCGGCCCAGAGACAAGGGGTTACCCCTGCCCCCGATTTGGCCGAGGATGGGTTACCACCCCTGGCCCGGACGCAAGGGGCTACCCCTGCGCCCGGCCGCTGTCTCATCGTCGTCATCGTCAGCTCCTCAGTCGCCCTCTCGGACGCCGCGGCCGTGGGGCGGCGGAGCCTCTCGGACCTCCACGCTGTCGCATGACTACAGCAAGTTTGCCGACGACCAGCTCGGACGATGCTACCCGGACTTCTCAATCGCCCTTTCGGGCACGCAGGCCCATGACAACAACAATTTTGCCCGCGACCAGTTCAGACAGACGAGACTCCCGCTTGGTAACTCCCCAGTATTCAGGCCGCAGGAGCGAGTTCTAAAATCCGCCCTCAGACCTCCAAGTGACGACAGGAGACGGTCCTCTGACGGGGCTACCCGCACCGCCCACAGACAAAGTTCCCCCTTGATACTTCCCCCGTGTTCAGGCCGCAGGAGCTGAGGAGCCCAAAAAGCTCGCTCGGATGACCCGCTCGGGTTCGAACGTGAAGTGCGTGCCCCGTAAGGAGGGGGCTCCCGCCTGAGACTTCCTCGCAATTCACTCACAGACGAGGCTCCCGCTCGAGACTTCCTTCGTATTCAAGCTTCAGGAGCCCCAAAGTGACGACAGTTACAGGGTTCCGATGACGCGCTCGGATTACTTACATGATCGGCGGGCCCCATAAGGAGGGCGCTCCAGCTTGAGACGTCCTCGCAATTCACTCAGAGACGAGGCTCCCGCCTGATGCTTCCTCCATATTCAGGCCTCAAGAGCCCAAAAGTGACGACAGTTACAAGGTTCCGATGACCCGCTCGGATTAATAACATGATCTGCGGGCCCCATAGGGAGGGGGCTCCCGCCTGAAACTTCCTCGCGATTCACTCACAGACGAGGCCCCCGCCTGATACTTCCTGCATATTCAAGCTTCAGAGGCCCAATAGTGACGACAGTTACAGGGTTCCGATGACCCGCCCGGATTAGTAACATGATCTGCGGGCCTTATAGGGAGGGGGCTCCCGCTTGAGACTTCCTCGCAATTCACTCACAGACAAGGCTCCCGCTCGAGACTTCCTTCATATTCAAGCCTCAAGAGCCCAAAAGTGACGACAGTTACAGGGTTCCGATGACCCGCTCGGATCAGTAACATGATCGGCGGGCCCAATAAGGAGAGGGCTCCCGCCTGAGAGTTCCTCGCAATTCACCGACGAGGCTCCCGCCTCATATTTCCTCCATATTCAGGCCTCAAGAGCCCAAAAGTGACGACAGTTACAAGGTTCCGATGACCCGCTCGGATTAGTAACATGATCTGCGGGCCCCATAGGGGCGGGGCTCCCGTTTGAGACTTCCTCGCAATTCACTCACAGACGAGGCTCCCGCCTGATACTTCCTGCATATTCAAGCTTCAGAGGCCCAAGAGTGACGACAGTTACAGGGTTCCGATGACCCGCTCGGATTAGTAACATGATCTGCGGGCCCCATAGGGAGGGGGCTCCCGCCTGAGACCTTCTCGCAATTCACTCAGAGGCTCCCGCCTGATGACGAAATGATGAGTGAGCGAATGCTGATGATGATGAGTTTGTGATGAATGAGTGATGCTGATGATGATGAGGATGATGATGATGTTGATGATGATGATGGCAACTGAATGGGTGATCGAGAGATTATGATGGAGATGGTGACGATGATGTTGAGAGTGGCGGCGGTCCTACCGTCGGAGGACCACTGCCTCTGAAGCCGATTGAGGATGAGTGAGTACTTGAGTGAATGAGTGGGTGATCGAGTGGTGATGATGGTGACGATGATGATGAGGATGATGATGATGACTAGCGATGACGGTGATGGTGGTTGATGGTGATGATGATGGTAATGATGATGAGTGTGTGCGTGTGATGACGATGATGGTGGTTGATGGTGATGATGATGGCGATGATGGTGAGTGAGAGAGAAAGAGAGAGAGAGAGAGAGAGAGAGAGAGAGAAAGGAAAGGGTGTGTGTGAGATCCTGCGCGGCGTGTGCAGAGAAAACAAGAACCCCACTTTGGATGTGGGGAAAAATACTCTGGGGACGATTTTTGATAATTTTTTTGGTAATTGTTGGGTATTCTTGGGGTATTTTTCATTTTTCGTCCCAAATCCCCCTGTAGGGGGACAGGCCCGACTTAACGGTAGGGGGAAGGGGGAAGGCTTCTCAGAAGGAGGTTGCTTCTCAGAAGGCGCCGGCCTTACATCAACAGACAAGGCCCGCGCTTTCGAGGAAGCAGGGGTGCTTCCAAGGAGCCTTCCCCCCTCCTCCTGCCCCCCTCCGCGCGCCGCCAAAGTCTGCTCCGCATGGATATCCAGAAATCGATGAAGAAAAAACGCCATAAGCATAAACTTTTGGGGAGGAGGAGGAGGAGGAGTGAGGAGGGGGAGGAGGATAGTGAGGAGGAGGAGGAGGACGGAACGAGGAGGAGGAGGAGGAGGAGGAGGAGGAGGAGGAGGAGGAGGAGGAGGACGGAGCGAGGAGGAGGAGGAGGCGGAGGAGGAGGGAGACGAGGAGGAGGAGGACGGAGCAAGGAGAAGGAGGAGGAGGCGGAGGGGGACGAGGAGGAGGAGAAGGAAGACGAGGAGGAGGAGGGTGAGGAGGAGGAGCAGGGCCAGTGGTGTACCGAAGACTCATCAACGATGTTGAATTTAACCCTCCCTTGGGGTTTCCTCTTCAGAGGTCCCTGCAAACATGTATTTTTCCACTGCGGGAAGTGCTTCGTTGGAAGACAACCGTCTGAAGATCGCCAACCTGCCAGAGGACCATTCCTGGGATTTCGTTTCATAACGCCATTCCTGGGACTCCAACACCGCAAATCAACGTGACCCTCGCGTCCTGACAGTGCTAAGCCGTGCCAACACATTATTCATGGGATGCCAGTGATGCTCATCTTTGAAACGGTTGTAAACTGTTGAGGCGAATGTGCGGTGCGCGAAAGCTAGAGTCACATTTTGAAATGAGCCGCACTCCATCCATTAATCTCCTGCACACTTATAAGACGGAGGTGCGTGGCGCGAGGGCGACAGCCACATTTTGAAAGGAGCCGCCGCCCTCCATCCGTGAACCTCTTGTGACCTTTTAAGACGAAGGTGTGCGGCGCGAAGGCGAGAGCCACATTCTGAAAATTGCCCGCCCTCCATCCGCGAAGTTCTTGCAAACTTTTAAGACGAGTGTGCGCGGCGATACGGCGAGAGCCGAATTTTGAGAACGGCCCGCCCTCCACCCGTGAAGCTGTTGCAATGTGTCAGTTTCAGGACCATAAATGGTGAGGAACTCTCAGGACAAACGCCTGGCCCGCCTTGCGGACCCGTTGTGGGATGCGACAGGGAGGGGTTATATATAAGGAAGAGGGATGGCGGAGGAGGAGGAGCAAGTGGAGGAGGGGGGGATGCGAAGAAGTAGCAAAAACGCAACGATCACATATCCATGTCCGTGCAACGTCAATTGCTATTACTGTTAGCAGTCGTAGTAGTAGTAGTAGTAGTAGGTAGTCGAGGTAGTAGTAGTAGTAGTAGTAGTAGTAGTAGTAGTAGTATTAGTAGTAGTAGTAGTAGTAGTAGTAGCAGCAGTAGCAGCAGTAGTAGTAGTAGTAGTAGTAGTAGTAGTAGTAGTAGTGGTAGTAGTCGTAGTAGTAGTAGTAGTAGTAGTAGTAGTAGTAGTAGTAGTAGTAGTAGTAGTAGTAGTAGTAGTAGTAGTTAGTAGTAGTAGTAGTAGTAGTAGTAGTAGTAGTAGTAGTAGTAGTAGTAGTAGTAGTAGTAGTAGTAGTAGTAGTAGTAGTAGTAGTAGTAGTAGTAGTAGTAGTAGTAGTAGTAGTAGTAGTAGTAGTAGTAGTAGTAGTAGTAGTAGTAGTAGTATTCGTCGTCGTCGTCGTCGTAGTGTAGTAGTAGTAGTAGTAGTAGTAGCAGTAGTAGTCGTAGTAGTAGTAGTAGTAGTAGTAGTAGTAGTAGTAGTAGTAGTAGTAGTAGTAGTAGTAGTAGTAGTAGGAGTAGTAGGAGTAGTCGTAGTAGTAGTAGGAGTAGTCGTAGTCGTAGTAAGAGAAGTAGTAGTAGTAGTACTAGTA